CTCACTCTCTCTCTCACTCACTCTCTCCACACACACACGTGCAGACACACACACACACACACACACACACACACACACACACACACACACACACGCACACACACACACACACACACACACACACACACACACACACACACACACACACACACACCGCTGCGTCGACGTTGGCGGGGCTCTCGTCGTTTGGCTCCGCGAGTAAACTCACAACAGACAGCAACACCTTGTCAACACTCTGCACAGGCGACCACCTGCATACGTATGTGCGTGTGTGTATGTGAGTGCGTTGAAGGAGAGCGGGCAAGCTTGCTGCAAAGCGCACATGCACTCAAGGCCGAGGAGGGAAAAACTGCGCGTGGGAGTCCACGCATGCATACTCACATGGATAGAGAGAGGCACATAAACAGACAGACAGATGGACAGACACAACACAACACAACACAACACAACACAACACAACACAACACAACACAACACAACACAACACAACACAACACAACACAACACAACACAACACAACACAACACAACACAACACACCTTTCAGCGGCGGTTTCGTAGCCGGAGGGGTCATCGCCGGGCGCGTGGAGAATGGAGATGCACACAGAGCCATCAGGGTACACTGTGGCAAACGATACCATTGGTGGCAACGAGACGGGCGTGTGTCGTTGACAGTGAGCGAGACAACAGAGAGACAGGCAAGCACACACGGAGAGGGGGAAGGGTAGAGGCAAAATGTGCGTTCCTGAGTGCACAACAACAAAAAAGCGCGCGGGCGTCAAACACAGACAGCCAGACAGACACAGACAGACACAGACAGCCACAGACACACAGACACACAGACACAGGCACACAGACACAGACACACAGACACAGACACACAGACACACACACCCAGAGGCAAACGCACCGTTTGGATGGAAGAGTTTGGAGGTGAACTTCATCTTGGGAGGGCTGTGAGGGTAGTCTGGAGGGAACGTGAGCACGGCGCGAAACACGCCAAACTCAAACGGCGTGTCCTCAGGTCCCCTAAGACAAAAGTCGCACCAGCAGCGGGCGTGATCATGACGCATCACAATGGCGCAGTCGATAGGCAGGCAGGGCGGCAGGTAAACAGACAAGCAGGTAAATAGACAAACGCAGATGCGCACGCACACACACACACACACAGATACATTGACAGACAGACAGACACACACACACACACACACAGGCACACAGACACACACAGACACACACAGACACACACAGACACACGCACACACACACACACACAACGTACGTGACAAACGCTTCCCACTCCAAGAAGTTGTCCTCATCAATGGGACCTGGAACATGGCAACAGCAGACAGGCAATCACGCAGGCATTGTGCGCCGTGTGAAAGGTCGCACACATGGAAGCACAGACACAGGTGGCTGGAGAGCAAGGAGGCAACACGCAACAGGACAGATACAACTGACACGCATACCTGCAAGGATGCCTGGCGAAGGGTTCTGGACCAGGTCTGCGCAACAGACGAACAGGACACAGCAAACATGAGCGGGCATGCGCACGGGTGGATCGACACACACAGACACAGACACACAGACAGACAGACAGAGACAGACACAGACACACAGACACACAGACACAGACACAGACACAGACACAAACAGACAGACAGACAGACAGACAGACAGTCAGTCAGACAGACAGACAGACAAACACACACACGCACAGACACACACACACACACAGACACAGACACACACACACACACACACAGACACAGACACAGACACACACACACACACAGACACACACACACACACACAGACACAGACACACACACACAGACACAGACACACACACACACACACACACACACACACACACACAGACACACACACACACACACACACACACACACACAGACACACACACACACACACACACACACACACACACACACACACACACACACACACACACACCTTTGTACTCCTTCATCAATCGCTTCAGCGGCAGCATCCTGAGAGACGACGCGGGGATCGCGACACAATCGCAGCCGGACGCGGAGGTGGTGAGCTGAGCTGAGGTGGTGGCGCTTGCTTTGTCGTCGTCGTCGTCGTCGTTGTTGTTTGTGCGCGTTGTTTTCCCAACGTGTCGTGTCGTTTTGGTGCTGGCGGTTTAGCTGGCAACCACAGACCCACACGCACACGAGCAGACGCACACGCACACGCACACGAGCACACGCACACGGATAAGCACTCAGGTACACACAGAGGATGGCCCCACCTCAGCGACAGCAACAGCGACAGCAGCGACAGCAACAGCGACAGCAGCGACAGCAGCGACAGCAGAGGGATTCGAGTGGCTCCTCTGACCTAAGGAAACGCTCCACCAACGGCTCCAGCCATAATGGCAACGGCAACGGCAGCAGTGCGGCGCGTGTTGTCCGTCGAACCTCCCAGCCACAGCACGCCAAGAAGGAGCAAGGCAGCAGCACGCTTGACAGTGATGCAAGTGATGCAAGTGATGCGAGCGATGCGCCCAGGCGCAAGGGCTCCGGCTCTCGATCTGCGCAGGAGCTGAAGAAGATCATGGAGCAGCTGCTGTCACGCAGAGCATCCACACACGTGCCACCCCACGCAGGCATCCCAAACACCACCACCACTGCCATCGACAGCACCATGCGCAGCACGGGCGCCACCCGGCACGGCTCTGCGCCGTCGCTCTCCTCGCCCGAGGCCCACAGCCACTCACCAACGTCAACCAGCCCGCTTGGCGTGCTCTCGCCGGCGTCACGCCGCCGGCTCTCCCATCTGCTCAATCATCCGCAGGTGCAGCACTTCCACCGCCACCACTCGCGCCACCACCCGGGGCCACAGGTCCACAGCCCCAGCATGGTCCGCCGCGCCTCCAGCCCACACCAGCGGCCAGCGGCTGCTGCTGCTGCCACGCGGCTCAGCGCGGACCTCAACACCATCACGCGCGACGCAGATGCCACACGCCGCGGCAGTGCTGGCAGGGGGTCCGGTCCACAACAACAACAGCAACAACGGCAACAGCAGCACAGCTCGAGGCAGGTCGCCAATGCACCTCACGCGCAGGCTGACGCTGCAACTGCAACACACGACCACCATCTCCGCCGCCCATACAAGCAGCATCCTGGCACGCGCCACCATCCGCGCAGCCACCATCACCACCACCATCTCCACCAGCCGCTGCTACGAGCCCGCCGCACGCTGCCGCCGCCACTCAACAAGCTCGCTGCAGGGCACATGACCACGCAAGCGCAGCGGCAGCACATGCACTCGCACGCCAATGTGGCGACGCAGGTGCTACGGCAGAGCAGGGCGAGGAGCCAGCTGCGGCGACAAAGCCTGAGCGCAGGGCACGTGGACGCTGTACGAGGGACATCGCTTCGACAACAGCATGGTGATGACGGCGATGATGATGATGATGATGATGATGATGATGATGATGGTGGTGGTAGTGTTGGTGGTGTTGGTGATGGTGGTGGTGTTGACGGTGGCGGTGATGATGATGGTGATGGCGATGGTGGTGGTGAAGTGGTGATGGGGCCAGCGGGTCGTGGCGTGCGGTATGGCGGAGCAGGACGCAGCGTGAGTGCCAGGGCCGCACGGGGTGTTGGTGGCATAAGTGCAGGGGCAACAGGTACGACAACCACGAGCAGGCTGGTTGCTGCGGCGCTGGATGCGGAATACAGGGTGACGAGCGTGCAGGGCAAAGGATCAAGCCTCTCCCTGCGATCAACCCTCCTCAAGAACGCAGGCGCTGAGGGTGTTTCTGGTGGCGTTGACAGTCGTGTTGATGATGGTGTTGGCGGCAGCAGTGATGATGTTGGCAACCAGAAGTACCAACACCAACAACAACAGCAACAACAACAACCACAGCAACAACAGCAGCGACAGCGAGTTGGTGGCGGTGTTAAGAGGCGTTCCACGACAGATGACACGACGATTGAGTTTGCACCAGCAACTGACCCCGCCCTCTTTACAGGCAACGTTCACAGGTGTCGTACTTCGCGTGTGTGCGTGCTTGTGTGTGCATGTGGTGTGTGCATATGTGAGTGAGTGTGTGTGCGCGTGTGAGTGTGCGTGCGTGGTGTGCATGTGTGTGTGCGTGCGCGTCTGCGTGCGTGCCGTTGGCGATTGCATCAGTTCACGTGCTTTTCGCCTGCCACCACCACGCCAACTGCCGCAGATTCTGTCCCCATCCTGCCAGCGCTGGGTTATCATCATCGTCAACATCATCGTCATCGTCGTCACCGCCACCCGGGAATCTCATATTCGACGCCGCATTTGAAAGCGGTGCGCGCCCTGCCTGGCGTGCATGTGTGCGTGCAGCTGTGCGTGCAGCTGTGCGTGCGTGCAGTGTATGTTCATCTGTGTGTGTGTGTGTGTCTGTGTGTGTGTGTGTGTCTGTGTGTGTCTGTCTGTCTTTCTCCCCGTCCCTGGCGGCGCGCCTGCCTCTTGTTGTGGTCACCGTGTGCATATGTGCGCTCATCTCTGCCCTGCTGTTCCCTTCAGGCAACCTTGGTCGCGTTGACTGCCTCTCCCCTGCAGAGTACAATCTCCACATCCGCCCAGACCTCGCCAGCCCGCGTCACCGCCTGTGGTCGGTGATCTTTTTTTTTGTGTGTGTGTGTTGTGTGTTGTGTGTGTGTGTTGTGTTGTGTTGTGTTATGTTGTGTTGTGAATGTGCGCTCGCTCGCGTGTGTGTTCCCTTTCGTTGTATTGCTTGAAGTGTGAGTTTCCCTCTCTGCATGCTCCAGTCACGAGCTCATGCATGCACGTGCCCTCGGCAACCGCAATATCGCCTCATTCCCACCGTCACCACCACCCTCCTGTGTGTGCATTGCGTCAGGTTCTACTTCCGCGTGTGGAATGCGGCGCCGGCGCAGCACGTGATGTTCAGCATCATCAACTTCTCAAAGTCCCGCAGTCTCTTTGGCGAGGGCATGGCTCCTGTTGTCCGCTCAAAGAAACGTAAGCGGCGGCGGTGGTGGTGGTGATGATGTTGGTGTTGGTGGTGGTGGTGGTGGTATACGCCTTCGACGAAAATGTTTCTTTCCCAAGCACTGTCTATCTGCCTTCAGGATTGCGTGTGTGTGTGTGTGTGCGTGTGCGTGTGTGTCTGTTCTCATAACACACACACACACACACACACACACACACTACCCAACACACACACACACACACACAATGCACCATCATCATCACCACCATCCCCGTATCAGGGCCGGCGTGGCGCCGCATGGACCCTGCGGATGTGTTCCAGTACAAACCGGACGCGGCGGCGAAGAAGGGCGGGGCGGTCGTCTCGTTTGCTTTCCACTTTGACGATCCGCAGGTGTGCTGCAGCAGCAGCAGCGGCGGCTCAACGAGCCGTGGTGGTGGTGGTGTTGTTGGGTTGTGGCGGTGGTGCTGTGGTGGTGCGTGAAATGCGTGAACATTGGTGTGTGCGTGTGTGTGTGTGTGTTTGTGGGAGCCACATTCTCGCTCCCCCTGGCGTCCATCTCGCCCCCAACTGCCATGAACACCCATGCTGACGCCTTGTTTCCACGTATTGCAACGTTGATCTTGTTCGATAGGATGTGTATGAGTTTGCATACAGCTTCCCATACACATACACGCACTCGCAGCGCAAGATTGCGCAATGGAAATTGCGTCATCGCTCTTTCCTTCAGCTCCGCTCCATCGGATCATCCGTCCAGGTTGGCGCTTGTTTGTTCGCGAGCACACGTGTATTGCTTGTGTTTCATGTGTTGTGTGCGTATTGTGTGGGTATTGTGTGTATTGTGTGCATGTGCGTGAGCGTGCGCGGGTTGTGTGCATGTGTACATGTGCAAGTGTGTGTGTGTTTGTATTTGATCCCCCCCCCCCCAAAAAAAAAAACTTTTTTTTTTTGCATTTCCTCTGCTGACGCGTTGTTGCTGCCGCCGTTGCGCCATTCCGCTGTACAACAGGGCCGAAACTTGGACATGCTCACCATCACCGCACCCAAGAACTTCATCAAGTAAGCCAGCAGTTGACATAGCCACACACACACACACACACACACACACACACACACACACACACACACACACCGCGCTCTCAACACATTTGCACCATCACATCTGTCATTCGCCATGATTGTGCAGAATGAAGAAAGGAGAGCGGTTTCCGACCATCTTCATCACCGCACGCGTCCACCCGGGCGAGACACCAGCCTCGTTCGTCTGCCAAGGTACGCACGCGTGTGGTGGTGGTGGTAGCATGTGTTTGTGTGTTTGTGTGTGTATGTTTTTGTGTCTTGACTGATTGATTGGCGCACATGTTGCGTGAGTGCATCTTGTGAACTACACCCATCCACCCACCCACACACACACACACACACACACACACACACACACACACACACAGGCGTGGTGCAATATTTGCTGAGTCAGCATGTGGATGCGATTGCGCTGCGGAGTCGCGTCGTCGTTCACGTCATCCCAATGCTCAATCCTGACGGTAGGGGTGCCGTGCAGTGTGGTGTGTTGTTGCGTTGCGTTGCGTTGTGTTGGTTTGTGTTATTGGTTTTGTTCTGCGTGATGTTGTGTGTATATGTGTGTGTGTGTGTGTGTGCGAGCGTTCTTTTATTTTTTCTCTGTGTCTCTGCAAGTGTGTTCAGCCGTCTTGCCTCATGAGTTTTGATGCAACATCATGACCCTTCGCTGCAGGTGTGTTTCACGGCACATATCGAGGAAACACCCTCGGATTTGATTTAAACAGGTGCGGCTGCAATGCCCACATTGCACCACACATATACATACATGGTACTCACACGTACACAGAGTGCACACGCACGTAGTACACACACACACACACACACACACACACACACACGCAACCAACACACGCACTCACAGATCCACACACACATCCACACTCTCTCGTTCTCTCACACACATCCACACATACACACACACCCATACATACGTACAGGTGCTGGGACAAAGCGGTACCGAGCAAGCACCCAACCATCTCCGCCATCCGCACTCTCCTCACACAGGTGCACACGAAAAGAGGTTGCTGTTGTTGTTGTTTAAGTTGTTGTTGTTGTTTAAGTTGTTGTTGTTGTTGTTTAAGTTGTCGTCGTCGTCGTAATCCTCGTCGTCGTGATAGCTGCTGTGCTTGTTGTCATGTCATTCTTGTACTTGGTGTCGCTTCAAATACAAGCTTCTGGCATACACCATACACAAACACACAGACACACAGACACACATCATGCGTACAACAGAAGCCAGTTGCACTCTAACCCCGTCGCACATGGCATGGTCATCATCATACTCATCATCATCCTACCCCTTTGCTGTTCATGACTGGCGTTGACAGCACATGAAAGCGGCGACGCGCGTGCTGGCGTTTGTTGATCTTCACGGCCACTCCACCGCTCTTTCCTCATTCATCTACGGAAACGAATACGCAGACTCAACGCGCATGCAGGCGCAGGTGTGTGTGTGTATGTGTGTGTGTGTATGTGTGTGTGTGTGTGTGCTCGTGTGTGTATGTGTGTGTTCGTGTGTGTATGTGTGTGTGTGTGTGGTTGTTTTGTGCCCTCTCCTCGCAACTTCCATTCCCGTTTCCTCGGACCTTCAACTCAACAACCCAAGTCCTCACCACGCTACATCGCCAATGTGCAACACCCATCCAGTGGAGCCTACCCCGTGTGCTGGCGAACGTGTCAGACATGTTTTCGCTTGCGCGCACAAAGTTCAACAGCGACGCACGCAAAGCGGGGACGGGCCGGCGCTGGATCGGCTCTTTGCTCGGTGTGTGTGTGTGTGTGTGTGTGTGTGTGTGTGTGCGTGTGTGCGTGTGTGTGTGTGTGCGTGTGGATGATCATGCTAGTGCAACTACGGCGGTATGTGAGAGTGATTGCTTGTCGTGGTGTGGTGGTGTGACGCGCTGTTCGTGAGACAGCTGAGTGCGCTTAGTTGGCTTTGTCGGGTGACGAAAGGTGACAGGAGACGCAGGCTTGCTTGTACTCGTGTGATGAATGGTTTTGACTTGTCTAACCAGCAATCCCCCTTGTGGGGAATTATTGTTCAGCTCCGTTGCGTGTGACATGAGGTGCACACTTTATGAACCATTTATTTCAAGCTCAGCAAACAGACCAGCCAGCAAAGGCCCATTTCAAATACACACCAA